GGTGTCTCTGTATGCAGCTTTTATTGATTTTAGAGCTGCATTTGACTCTATTTCAAGAAACATACTATGGAAAAAATTAGCGAATATTAATATTGATAAGCGTTTATTATTCTTGATTCAAGCTTTACATAATAATACATCGGTAAGAATTAGAGTTAATCCCCAAGGACACCTTACAGCACCTGTTAAAACTAAAAAAGGGGTTAAACAGGGCTGTATTTTGGCACCTTTGTTATTTAATCTTTATATAAATGATTTAGTAATAAATCTAAATTGAAATATGAATATTTTTAGAATTGAAATATGTGTACATTTTAATCCTCTTGCATTATGTTTTTAATTCAGCACTTTGTAGAAAGTATGTATTTGTATCTGTACTATTTAAACTTGCTAGTTCTGTGGATGTTCAGCTGGCTCCAAGCAAGTATATATTTTTATATTTATACTTATGTTTTACATCTGTGGATGCTGGATGACCAAAGTGGTCAAAACAATAAACAAATACACTTGTGAACTGTGTTTGAAATAGATTAGGAGCTAGTGCAGTTGTTCTAAGATTGGGAGACTTTCCATATGTCTTGTCCTGCTGAGCAACCTAGCTGCTCTACCAAGTTACTGAAGTCTGAAAAGGCAATGTCATGTAAAATACATTATTGTAAAATTTAAACAGGATGTTACTGGAGCACAGCAGGCAGCCTCTGTGCAGGAGCTGACAGACAGATTCAATTTATCAAAGGATCATACCACAGAAGCCACTTGGTGCCTCTAAAGACAAGACTGGGTCTAATAGCATCTTCAAGCTGTGAAGGTTTTCCTAGTTTTGTATGGGGGTAATGTAGCCCCATACAAAACAGGCTGAATATTGCAAATAGTCTAGTAATAGCACCTAGCAGTAGAACTGTTGCTGAGGTTTTTTAAAAACAACACTTTAGATGTCCGTCAAAAGTATCTCCACAAAGGGCAGATCACAAATCAAGCAAGGGTGATGTCCCCGTTCTTCAGTTTTGCGTCCCATGGCACAGTGGTAGAACTGCAGTACTGCAGTCAAGCCTCTGCCCATGAATTGAGTTTGGTCCCTATGGATTCAGGTGCCCAGCTCTGGGTTGACTCTGCTTTCCATCCTTCTGAGGTTGGTAAAATTACCCAGCTTGCGGGGCGGGGGGGGAAGTGTTCCATGCACAATTACATTGTAAACGTCCCAGAGAGTTTTCTAATCAAAGTATTCTACAATGACTTGGCTATCTGTATCACCTTGCCAAACAACAGAATAATTGGACCATACATTAGGTACAGATGTATGGTGAAACAGTACATTTTAGTGTAAAATGCACTCTAAATTGTAGGTCCAAGTGGGTGGGGAAGGTAAGAACCTGGCTGTTGTTGAGTCAATAGACGGTGGGTTGTACTTGAGCCAGAAAGTTTCATCCATAAAAGCAGCTGATTAGGCAAAAAGATCACAGGTGGGCAACAAAGCAAACCTCTGTGCAGTAGCACTCCCATGTCCGGTATACAGTCCATATTGTCAAGCCCCATGCTTAGATGGAACACATCTCTTCTTAATTTGATGCTTTTCTTAGGCTTCAGTAGCAGCTGCTTGTCCCACCTTGGAGAGGGGGAATCCAAGCCATGATCCCATTGCCTTGCCCTTTGCCTATCTCCTCACTCCAAACCTCTTTAAACCCATAGAGCACCCAAAGTGTTCATAAACGAGAGGGTGCTTTGTTATGCTTTATTGGCTGTATGTTTTTAACAGCACTTTGCCAGTGCCCTTTCTCTGGTTTATTGAAACAGTAGTGGGAGTAATGTCCCACAAGGTAAGCATTATTTGAAATGTAGGTAGAGTATTAATCATCTTTTTCAAGGCAAAAGGAATACAATTTTATTTTACTTATGGGACATTCTCTAGTTCAACTAATATCCTTGCTTCCCCTGCCATGAGTCATTTTGTGGGATATAGTTCATATTCGAGTTTCAAACTATTATTTTTGGCAGCTGCTACTGCATAAAGCATTCATCTTCCTTTAAAATTGCCATGCTAGGCCATTAGTAATAACCCCCATCCACCCACAAGAACAAATAATGTGATATGCTTAGAAATATATCATGCAAATAAGTTTCAATTTCGAAATCTAGTTCCCAAAGCCCTCTACCACTATAAAACCGATGAATGTAAATGGGACATCCCCCCATGTAACTTTTGTCTATATGGTTCTTAAGTTTTTTTTAAATATTTCACATTACAAATTTTAAATGTTTGGCAACTCCCAAAACTTAAAATTCCTTAGAAGGGTCACTAAAAGATGGAGATCATGTTTTTATATCCCAGTTTTATATGCACTCTGTGTATTTCCTGATATAAAACAATTTTTGCGTATTATGTACCCTAAAAGAAAAGATGGTGTAGAAAGAAGTCTGCTTTCTGTTGTTGCCTTGTTTCATAATATTATATTTCCCTTTTAACATTTAATTCGGTCTCCTAGTAATTTTTTAGCAAAATTGTGGTGTGTAGAATAAAATGACCTTGAGAACGTGAAGTGACAGTCTAGGTAATGCTAGTGCCCCAAAATGAAATCATTTAAATAAGTTATACTCCTGGCCTGGTTGGAGACCTTATACACCAAATGAAGGAGAACGGCACAGGAGTGAAGACCCAGTAAGTCCCCCCTCGTCCTTCCTGTGCTTTTGCCAGTAATCTTCCTTAACCTGTGCCATACCATCTTATTTGCCACCATATTTGAATTTTTAATGTTGAGAATTACAAATACGTGATACTTTATTTTATGTGTATGTTAGGTTTGTGCTCAGCAAGTATCTTTGTATTTCTTTCATTTTAGGTTCTTTCGGGGGATTCCTTTCTTTTCTTGTTAGTGTTCTTTTCTTCATTATATATGAAATGGAAAGCCACTTTCAGATTTCCCATTTGTGTTTTGCCATTTGCATTTTGGCACTCCAAAAAACCCCAAAGAACCCATAAATTAACCCCAAAAAAGCAGAGGCAAGGTAACACTTAGTCAGTCTACTCCAAAAGCAGGTAACAGTACACAAGAAAGAAATAACATCTTCAGATCTATACACTCACCAGTTTATATTATCACATTCATCATCAGACAACAGATGAGAAAAAGAAATCATCATCAGAGATAATTCAGAGGTACGCTGGCCTAGCCACAGAGTTGAACTCTCCACCATAGATGCAAACAAAACAATCCCAAACCCCACCAGAATGTTTATCTTTAATAGATGCAATACACGGTAAATTAACTAAACAACAATTCTAAAAATTCAAAAAGGAAACACTCACACACAACGGAAAAGATTAAATTAAATTAAATTATTGTTTTACATTAAATACACATAGCTGCTCTCCCAAAAACAAAGAATAAGAAGCAAAAAAGAGGCAAAAAGTGTAATCAACTGTCCCCACAACTAAAATAACTAGAATATGGGAAGATTTCTGTATTTGTACTTTAGCCTGGTGCCTTCTCAGCCCTAATGGGAAACAGTATACAAATTTAAGTAATAAATAAAAATAAATAATAAATAAATAACACCCTGGGGAACTCAGACACATTTGAAGGGGGCCACAGACTGGAAACAATTCTTCACACACCACCTTACAAAGTCCCTTAAGTGACTTATACAATCCCATTCCAGCCGATATTTCTTTCCTGTTGTGTTCAAGGCCATGGCCAATAAAACGTTGAGAATGCCTGACCTAAGGGGAATGGGCAGTACTTAGCTGATTCCACCCCCACCCACCATCCCTGTTGCATCACAAAGATATAGAGATGTTGCTAATACAAGCAGAAATAAGGATTTTTAAAGCAAAGCAAAATATTTTTTATGGGGGGGGCTCTGGTATGGCTTTGGAGGCACAAAAATGCCCCTTGAGGGCTATATGTGGTCCATGAACTACTTGTTTCCACTTCTACCTTTGTTCATCCCTGTCTGGTTTGTTTAGGTTGTTATCTTCTGGCATGTTGGAACCAACTTATAGGGATCCTAATAGGTCCTTAAAGCTAAGTGAAATATTTAAGGAGTGGTTTTAAAAGCCAGTGAGATTTGCATAAGCCGGGTAGTCAGGAAAGTTTTAAGGATCAGATCATACTTTTGCACCATTAAAGAGCAGGCCGGGTAGGTGGGGCTCGCCAGCCATGGTAGGCAGCCCATCTAGGAGAAGGAAAACTCTGATTTCAAACCTCCACTGCCTTGTGGCTATATCCACTCATGGAAAAGGCTTCAGGAGTTAACCTCGAGGCAAAATCCAGAGCCGGAGTCCCGAAGGCAGCATGTGTCGTTCTGCCAACTCCTGCAACATTGCTGGAACCAGTTGTATTGGCTCTTGCCTTTCCATTGGACCATTTCAGCAATGTGGAGAGGGGGGATCTGCTGCTTGGGTAACAGCCTATCCTACATATTACCTTACCCGGGCTTCATGCTCTGGAGAGGACACTCCTCGATTCAGAGCATGTTACCATAGTCTCTCGAGACTGAAGGATGCCTATGCAGGTTTTAACAGTTCCACATACCCAGTGAGATTTGATGGCTGAGTGGGGATTTGAACCCAGGCTTCCTAATTCCTAGTCCTTCCTCTATCCACTGTACCAGCCATTCTTAATGGGGGCCCCTTGGAGGGCCCTCGCACATTTGAGGGGGGCAGCGGACTGGAAACAGTTGTTCCCACACCACCTTATGAGGTTTGATATGCAAATTATACAACCCTGATGTAGCCTATTTTTTTTTATATTGTGTTTATGGCCAGGCCGAAAGAAGGTTGAGAACTATTGCACTACACCGTACTTGTCCTGATTTTTTCTGCACCATACTGCGTATCTATCCCTGTCTTAGTTTGTTTTAATTATCTGTTTCTTTTGGATAACGTAGTGGAAACTCTTTAAGAAACAAAGCACTGTAGCATTTCTAAGTTATGTTACAAATACATCCCTTTGTTGGTGTTTAGAAATGATGAACAGCTAAGTTTTGTTTGTAATTTTTTACAGATTCCTTGCAGCTTGGAATATTGGGATGAACTACAGAACTCATTTGTTGCTTTCAGAGAATTCAGCCTCTCGGAAAGTAAAGTTTGTGAGTTGTCACTGCCTAGTATTAACCTAATGACTGACCAGAAAGAACTTGTAGCCTCGGATCTCTGGAGGATTGTCCTGAACAGCAACCAGAATTCCGGAGATGACCAAAGGTAATTAAAACTGCAGTTGTTTGATGCAGGTAGATAATTTGTCCAGATCCTTTTGAATAGGGAGACATTTAGGTATTTCCCGAAGGCCACCTTGTCTCTGTTGATATGACTGCCTTTGTGTGTGAGCTTCACCTCATGCATGAGGACTAGGGAAGCTGCCCGTGCCCTACCCCCCAACTAGGGAGGCCTGGATTCTATTATTAGGTCACCTAAACAGGGCCGTTCACTCTCCTTGTAGTATATTATTCATGGGAAGAAAGCTTGCTGACCCAGGACAAAATAAATATGCCAAACACACAAGAATCTTAAGTCTGCAGGACTAGAAGAATGATACAACACATCTGAACTAAACATTCTCTGAATAAAGATATTCCAGTGGGACCAACTTTAGGCATATCTTAGGCTCACGTACTCCTTCCTTTTGGCATACTGTGAAGATCAGACAGTATTGCTTCCATTTTATATCAGATGCTGCCCTATCTCCAAACCCTAACTGGTGGCTACTGCTACTTATGTACAGATAAGCCAGTTGCAGAACCCATGTTATGAAGACTTGAATTTTAAACAAGCCCAAGTGAAGATTAGGGGTATGCTCTTTCATATTTTTGGACTGCAGGCCCCATAATTCTCTAGGAGTATCCTGGGTGTTGTAGCTCAGAATCATAAGTCTGTAGACCAGTTTTCCAGTTATTTATTTGCAGTGGTGCCTTTGCCAATGGAAGTATTTTCAAAAACAAGGAAGCTTCAGCAGTGCTGCCTGTGAGTTGCAGTATTCCTGAAAATCATAGTTCTTTGGGATGTGGCCTTTGTAGTCCTTAATAGACAATGAGATGAGGCTACGACTCCCATCCTATTTATGAAAGCAGGAAAAACCGGAGAGGACAGTTATGGAAGTAAATAACCAAATCAAAATTAAAAGTGAAGATTTCTGAACTTGTCCTTGTGACCTGACCATACTATAGGAGTAAAGAGTTGTTGGGAGGGTAGGAGAGCTCAAGGCTCATTTGTGATATGATAAACTTTAATTTACTGTAGTGTCCGACCATAGACCACTGGGGTAGAATACATTAGGCTTAAAAGTGTTTTTAATTAAAATTCCAGTCACTCAGCCAAATTTATTATATTTCTTTGCTTATCTCATTCTTTCTGTTCTCCATTCTTCTGCACTCTGTCTTTGCAACAATGGTTTGAAAAATAGTAAGTAGTGTAAGTTCTTTGAGAGCTAAGTGCAGATCACGTCCCTGGTGTCTCTTGCCTTGGCTTGATACTTTAACCAATACAGTAGAGTGTATTGGATCTCATACTGAACACAGAAGCTCCAGATGGATTTTTTCTTTACGTTTGTGAGTAATTTTCTTCCAGAGACACAGCAGTCCTCCAAAATTGATTTACCTGAATGCATGTATATACTTAGAAATATACATATCTATATGTAGTTACCGTTGTATAGACGTATGTGCAGTTATGTGTGCATACACACACACACACACATGCTTCTCACACATAAGATAACAAAACAGATGATGAATTAGGAGAATGGACTGCACATTTCCTGTTAAATTTTTATATGTGGGTATAAGATTCTAGAATTAAGAAAATGGATAGCGAGTAAATGTGAAGATGAAACATCTGGCTTGCATTGATCATATCATGTTGAAATGATCTGTTAATATTAATTGTGGAGGAATGGATTTTCATCACTGAGAAGTTTAGTGTTTTAGACAAGGTTAATTCCTCCTAATTTTGGACTGTCACAAAATTAGCTTTGTGGTCAGCTTAGTACCTCAGAAACATGAACTCTTGGGGAACTGGGCATAAGCTTCTGGAATTCAATAGATTTTTTCCCATCAAAGCATTTAGAGCAGCAATCAGGATTTTTGTTATGTGTTCATGTGAGGCTTATTACTCTCCCTCATATTTCATTAAAATTATTCTCTTAAAAGGTTTCCACACTGATAACCCTGGCTTATATATGAAGAATTAATGTCTCTTTCCATTGACAAAAGGATATTGTTGTTCTTGTCATGTGCTGTCACTTCATCTCCAACCCATGCTGACCCTGTGAATGAGTGACCTCCAAAATGTCTTACCATCAACAGCTCTGCTTAGCTTTTCCAAATTCAAGAGTGTGGCTTCCTCTATGGAGTCAATTCATCATACATTTGATCAACCTCTTTTCCTGCTGCCCTCAATTATTGTATTTCCCATCAAGTCCTGTCTTAGGTCCCCAAAATATGACAGCCTCAGCTTCATTACTTTTACTTCTAAAGAGAGTTCAGGTGCGATTTATCCAGGACCAACGTTCCCTGGGAAGTCAGGGAAGAGAAGGAATGTTTTCCCTTTTGCGACTGTTCATTTTCTTTGTAGAGAAATGGCAGACCTCAGGATTATATCATTTAGGAATCTTTTCCTGTTCAAGCATGTCAGTTCTTGGAAAATGATTTTTTCCCTCTGCTTAAAACTGAAAAACATAAATGGGTATAAATAATCACCTCATAAGTCTTGCCTTGAAGCAATGTGTGCAGTAATGGTTGCACTTTGTAAAAATAATCATGGTCTGATCAGCGCAGATGTCCAAAACACAGCATCACAGAGAGTCAGATCCTTTGATAAACATCAGGATGTTTTGAAGCACTGGTCTCATTGTGTTTTGCTCTGCAGCTCGGAAAGTGAATCAGGATCACAAGGTGCTTGTGACCCACTTGTAACTCCTACTGCACTAGCTGCCTGTACTAGGGTGGATTCATGCTTTGCCCCTTGGTTTGTTCCTGCCCTTGGAGTTTCAATTCATTTTGCTCATTTGGAACTTCGCCTTTGCCACCATCTGAATCAACTGGGCACAGGTATGTATCACAAACTCACAAGAAGACAACTGTGACTTTTGCTTTCACATTTGCTCATCATTCCTCTAGCTGCTTTCTGTTTGTAGGTTCATTCTTGGAACAACAAGCTTGGATAACTTGCACCCACTTATCAGAAGCAAGAATGCATAGGAAAAAGTGTGTTTGGATCCAGTAACTACAGAAAATGCTATGATTTCTAAGCTTTGGCTAGTGGTCACAAGTGCCCCTAACAGAAGAAACTTGGTCTTTACATTCACCAACATATTTGCACTGCTGGTGAAAGTTTTTTACATCCTCTTCAGCAAAGCAATTTTAAGGATATACAGAACACTGAAAGTTCAATTGCTTTTCTAGAAAGAAAGGTGGGGGAGGGGAAGATGAGTCCATCTGTTTTTGTTCAACGTTATGAGCTGTAGCATTGATGTCAGTTTATTCCAAGACAGTGTATTAGACATCTGATTTCAAATAATGCTCTCCAGGAAGAGTGAGCAAATCACTTTTCAGAAGTGGAACTTCTTTCTGAAGTTTCTGTTCTTTTTAAAACCACAGTAAAATATGGTAGATACCAAATTTTTGTAGCTTCTGTGTCACATGGTGTTGAAAGTAGTAACATGCCACCTTTAACTCTTGCCCATCCTAGCTGATGCATTCTCGTCCATATTTTTGATTCCTCAAATGACAGAATATTAAAACAAAAACAAAAGCTTGAATCAGAACAGCCAATATTAACATGTAATCTTCTGTTTCAGAAAGAATTTTACTTAAGCTGCTGTCTTGCTGGTTTAGTCACAGTGAGAAACTTAAATATCCAAAGTGGTGGCTATTACAGACTGATTCTATTTCACCTAATACGAATTTCTATGACATTGATTTACTCTGAACATAATTTATTGTTCTGTAATTTACACATTAATTTACTTAAAATAATACATGCATTTAAAAAAAATATTTATGTAGGCTCCTGTGATATGATTCCAGAGCTCAGAAATAAGCATGTCCTCCTTAGAACAGATACAAGTATTGTATTCCTGATAATGCTGAACCTTTAACAAAAATATATTATCTTTAATGTGTTTCTCCATATACATTTCAAGTTTGATTTTAATTTCAAGAGCAATTATGTTTATTTCAACCTAGGAGAGGATTTCTGTATAATATTGACCATTTTACTAATCAGAAAAATTTTATATACTGTATATGTAAAAATGCATTGACCTGATGCAGAAAATATATGGCTTGATCATTCCACAGATAATTTTTTCTTGAACATTTCTTTTTAGTTTACCTTTGCAGCATTGTACTGTTTATCTTTCTCATTTTGTTCCATAGTGCCAGCAAAATTCCTTCATCCATTTATATCTGATAAAAATGTGCCATCTGAATTAGAATATTCCATAATTTCTTTCAAAGAGCCACACATCTATTTGAGGCAGTGGGGCGATGGATCAGTCTTCAAGGAGTTCCAGTTCTCTACTAGGATTGACTGCAAACTTTTAGAATACAGAAACGTAACTATGCAGACTGTTATGAAGCCATTCAGAGTGTTTGGTCAGATTGCTGTTTCTGGAAATACAGTGGAAAAATTGCTCGATGGAAATGTGAAGGTGGATCCCATATTCATCAGCTTCGGACAACACACAGTCTATTCATTTCATAAAACTTTTGAAGCTTGGCAACAGGTAAGGCAAATATCTAAACATGTTATGATAGTGTTGATCTAGATTTCTAATTTGAAATATATAAGAATGGAATGATACTAATATATTGATAGGGTGAAGGGATGCGGTGGTGTGCATAAGCTAAGTGTAAGCTTTCTGTGTTGTTCTGTGTTATAATCACAGACTATATGGAAGGTAAATGGAAAGAACAGATATAAAAATTGAACAGAGTCAGTTCACCTGTAATGCTGATTTGGTACTACATGAGTAAGCTTTTTCCTTGTCTTGCTCCTTTCTTTATACCAAAGACCATGGTATGAATTTATGTGCAGACCACAAATTGTGGTTTGCATTTGTCAGAAGTGCAAACCATGGTTTGGTTGAGGTTGCAACTCCACTTCAGAGAACAGGTATCAACCTTAGTTTTCCAGATCAGATGCAATAGCAAGCTGTTGTTTATGCTTAAAGACAAAGTTTTGAGAATGCAGGGAGAATGGATGAGGGTGAGATCATGTGATTCAACATGATTCTCCAGACTGTTTGGTGAGTTCTGGATAATGGAAAGGCCCTTCCATTTTCACAAATGATCCTATAAATCTTCTGTTGATTTCTTCCTCTGCTGTAATGTCTGGTAACCACCCTTGGACATCCGGAGCAGAACCTGGAGATACTGTATTGCTTTAAACAGAACTTGGAAAAGTTACTCCAGACAGAGCTTGGAGATTAGTTTCCAGCCAGTTTGGCCAACAGAAATGTTGGCTGAATGAGTGAGTGAGTGAATGAGTCTGGGAGTTTTAGTTTTTTTTTTTTAAAAAAAAAAAGTTCTTCAAGCTCTGTGCCAGGCAATAATCAACCATAAACATTAGATCTTTCAAATAGTGAAGTGTGTGTGTAAGAGAGATTCTATTCTACTAGCATAGATCTACTCAAACTTCTCTTTGTCCAACCCAGTTGTCTAGACTAGAGAACCAGAAGCGCTACATTTGAACTGACTCCCAAGAGTAATTCATGGATGAGTTGTTCTCTGAACATGGCTGTGATGGCTGGTTTCTATTGTTTTAGTAGTAAAGAGCGTCTATCTTGGGCTGTTTTGAATGTCTCAAGAAAATTCAGCAAATACCTTAGGAAATTTTGTCTCTCAGTTTATTTTCCTTTTTTCTCTCTAAAATAAATAGAAAAACACACTTCAATGGAAGTCCCATTACTAATATGTTTTTGATGGAAATTAGGGTCTTGTGGAGTTTTTCTGCACAGATATGGCCTGTGTAGTTGAGATCAAGATCTGAGTTAGTGAATCATTGTAATATGCAGCCTCTTATTTTTATACACTGAAAAGCTGTTAACAGAAATCCAGTTATTTTGTTATGCATACGGAAGGAAAATGGCATTACATTCAGTTGTTTCTGGCTAACAGTTAACAAGTCTCCACTGGGATTCTCAAGCATGTGCCCAGCTACTGCGTGCTCACACCCTAAAAACTTCCACTGGGGATTTGTTAAATGCCAGCTAGAGGTGACTGAATGTTACACTGTTTGCTTTCCACACGCATAAGAAAGCAATAGGATTTCCACAGTGATATATATGGTACACTACTAAGGACCACATTTTCTATGAAACTGAGAAAAACACAGACTTATTTTTCTTTCTTTAAAAGCAGTTAAGTGGTTGATTTGATCAGTATAGGGTATAGGGCCTTTAATGTTTCCTCTTCATATTGTGTCACAGATGGAAGTCACCTCCAAAGCTTCTATTTATCCTGCTAGGTAAAACACAGCATCAGTTGTCTTTATTACTTTTGATTCCTGGTATATCTTCGTTGCTCTCCCCTTATCATCTCACTGAACATATTTACTACATTTCACACTATATTCCATGTATGCAAAAGTAATCATCCAAAGTAATCAAAATATGTTCAGATTATGTCTTCTGCAATTATTTAGAATGTTTCCCATTATCCCAAACTATTCAGTCCCACAAGAAAGTGCTAGTCTTTCCAGTCCAAATACCTAAACAAAATTCTGTGCATTAATTACCCATTGCAAAACTACAATAGTAAAGTAAGAAAAGATAAAACATCTGTTTTATATCAGAGTTTCTTTTTTCAAGGCATTCCATGGTTTTCTTATTGTAAAAGGACGTTCATAAAACAAGAGCTAGTGTGATTTAAATCTTTACAGCTGGTTCAAATATCAGTGTGAAAAAAGACTCTTTGTAGCTCCAATTTCTGCTTTTTGTCATATTTTGAGCCATGTACTTAACAGAAAACAAGCAAACAGAGTTTTGGATGAGGCCGGTTACGCATGGCCTGGTGGGGCAGCAACTACTGCAAAATGGCCTTCAATGCAGTCCAGTCCATTGTGTAGTTTAGAAGTCTCTCAGACAGCATATACACAGAAATAAAATGCAATGCATAAATATTTAAACAATTGAGACCACATCAGAATGTGAGTGAGTGACTAGGACTACAGGCTGCCTTAAAGGAATATTCAGAGTACAAAACAACAGAATTGTATATGTGATTAAGTAGAGCCATATGTTTGTATAGCAGCATATTCCTGACAGGTACATTCTATGAGTAATTGGGTCTGATTTATATATGGGGATGACTGTGTTCAAATGACCCACAGGTGGATATGCTTCTGTAATTGTTGTTGTAATTTTCTTGTTTCCTCTCATGTCAAGAGTTCTTGCCACCATCTTCTGATGTGGTGGGTGGGTCTTGATTAAAAGCTCACCCCACTTTTAAATTAGAGGACATCAAACACAGACATGGGCTCAGAACTGCTTATTAACGTTAATTGTTAACAACATGTTCCTTATGTGGGCTCTCAGCCACATAACGAAAATTACCTTCCCACTGCTAAGTGTTATTTAGTGTTTGGTGTTCAGAATTGGTACATTATTCTGCCAGACAAAATCAAGAGCACTACCATTAGTCAAATTCTTCACATTTTCTAACAAAATATCAGAGTCAAGTAATTTTGTACACAGTATAGATGGGAGCTGACATATGAAGCATAAAGCAATTTGGCCTTACACCTTTAGGTCAAGAGTTCAAGATTAACAGAAGCCTCTGTCAGTATTTGTTTCTCCCAATATGTGGGAGAATTTTTTTTCTTAAATAAAGATGGAAGCTTTAGAAGTAGATTAGGCTTTAAAGGCACCATAAAGCTCTAGATCACATGTTCAGATCTCAAGATGAAAGATTTTTGAAAAGACAGTGATTCCTTTCTGTTAGTAGCTATTTCACAACTTACTACTGTTTCTAAGGCTTCAATCTTGTACACAGTTGCTTAAGAATAAGGCTAATTGAACTTTGTGTGCTTACTTCTGAGTAAACCTGTATATCTTATTTTGGGGAAGCCTTCTGAAACACATGGGATACAATTCAGCCCAAGTGCTGTTTTTGTGATCAGTTCTAATTTAAATTAGTGGAACCAAATTATTTTTAATTTTTGGTGGCTCAAGATCAAGTGGCAGCAGTAATGCACGTGTAGATGGCATGTTATAGTCACCTTCTCTAGACAGTAGTTCAAGAACTTTTAAATTACTTTGTCAATATAATATATGCCCAATAAAAACTATCTTTTTATTTGTTTATTATGAGTATTAATATGGTTTTATTAACAAAAAATAATTTGAAGTATAGAACATACTGTAGTGGATGTTACTGGTTCTTTAATATCATGTAAGCAAAATAAAAATATGTGGGGAGGAATCACACTTACAAGTTAGTAGAATCATAAAAAAGTGAAGTTGTAAGGGGCCTACAAGGCCATCAAGTCCATCCCCTGCTCAGTGCAGGAATACAATAAAAGCTTATTTGCCAGGTGATTATCTAAGTTTTTCCTGAATACCTCCAGTGTTGGAGCACTCACCAACTCCTGAGGTAACTGGTTCCACCGTTGTACTCATGTAATTCCTTATTACATGAAACACTTGGAGTCTTTAACAGAAAATGTAAGGAAATACTTGGAGAAAATATGCATCTTCACTGTTTTGTCATTATGATAAAAGGCCATTTTAAAAGTTATTAGGGATATTAAATACTGTTGCTTTTCTCATAGAGTCCAGGGCAACTAACAGCGTGCATAAAACAAAGTCCAGCACTAAAATGCTCTTAAATCTAAGAACAGAGATAAATAATAAGATACAACAAAACAAATATAGCAGTTGCATAGTATCAACAGAGGTTTTGCATATTATCTTAAGAGTCTGCAGTAGGTCCTGGCCACATGGAGAACTGGGTTACCTGGAAATCACTTAATAGGTTGTGCACAGGAGTTGGCAGAACTAAAATGAATCTAAGAAAATGATTCCACACACCTCTAATACAATCCTTTCCAAGTGCAGAGAAGAACAGGAAACTTCACACTTACATGAGTGTACTCTGTGCTCCTCAAAATTTACCATTGAAGACTTATTGTCTTGTGGTGCTTCTGACACAAACAAAGAAAAGGAACAGGCTTGCACAAATAAATGCACAAATAAAAGCTTAGCATCCTTCTTACTGCTGACAATGTGAGCACAATATTGTGCAGCAGTATCAGGCCATTTCCTGGCATTTAGAATCATGGATAGAGAAGCGCAATATCCCACATTCATAAAAATGATTTTTTAAAGAATTGAATTTCTTGTGGGGTTTTTAATGGAAGTTTAAATTCTAACCACAAATTCTGACTCTCATGTCGAGGATCAGTGCTAGAGGATCCCAGAAGATGAGCACATGGTGTGTACTATGGTTGTTGGGGGAGAGCAGAACCAACAACAGTTTGTGTCCCTCTTTGGCAAAGTATTTCAAAGATCTGTTTTGGACTTAATGAAATTTGTTTATTTTATGAATCTGTTTCACATATAAGCCACCTTCCTCATAAATAACAAATAGTAAAGTAAAGCTGTGAGTAAATGTAGCACATACAGTGAAAAACATATACACGCTTTAACCTCTCAGGTGAACTACTGTTGCCATGCCTGCTCCGCAGAAAGCAGATTTCTTCCAGTTTTCATTTCTTTGTGGTAGA